GAACCCCTCCTCCTTCTCCGATATCCGTATTCTAGCCAATGCTTTGGTTGGGGTCACCAAGAGGGTGTTTTGGGTTGGCCTGGGCGCCTTATGTTGGGCCTTATGGACCACTAGGAACAAGTTTACTATTGAACATATCTTCCCATCTAAGCCTGCTGACGTTCTTTTCAAATCATGTATATTATTGCAGCAGTGGAGATCATTGACTAAAGAGGCTGAGCGGGATGCCCTGGGCCTTCTCATCAACAAAATTCGGGCTTCGGCATCTCACATCTCCAGTCGGGGCCATGCTGTCTAACCCCGTTGGTGCTGTTTGCGGCGTTTAAGACTCTTCTTCCCGGCCTACGTGCCGTGTATGGCAGTTGCCTGTACCCTTCTTCCCTTGGCGACTCTTTTTATATTCCCTCCTTGCGCTATGTGTTTCTCTCATTACTGTTATCCTGTTTGGTCTTGTGTGACACTGCCGTGTGGCTTTATTTATAAAGTCGGGCTATGGCCTTTCCTTAAAAAAAAAAGAAGAGGTGGGTGCAGGCGCTCATGGACCTGCTCAGCCTGCAGGACACGGGCAATACCGTGGCGAGTGTTGGTGTGTGTCGAATAGGCATGGACACCAGCCACACCCACGAGAACGGTTCGATTCAGCAGTTGCAAGCACATCCGGCGGGTGTGACCTCCATCCTCTGGCAACAACGACGACCAGCCCGCTTCTACTCACCATGCCTCTGCATCCTTGATACTTTTCCATGGTTTGATAGTACATTAATACAACTATCCAGGTAAAACAAATAGGAGAATTGGTGTTGCTCTCCATATGGAAGCGTACAACCATGAATCGTTCCACTTTTGCGAAGTTTGGAGATGATCGAGATCTGCATGTGCAGAAGCATTAGAAGTGAATTAGGTTTGAATGGAATATTTGATGTATGGTGGTCTTCCTGAGATGTAAGTGCTTACTCTCATGTAAGTAAAAGCTGGTCACGACATTCTAATTTGTGATGACCTGCAAAAATACACAAGAAAGAGAAAATGCACTCAGATATTAACTGCGCTGATGCTGATCAAACCAATCGTTGTTACCTCTAAATGTTTCCATTATATGACATTTTGTGTCTACACTGCAAACAATGAAGAGTTCAACATGAATGGGCACATTAGAGAAGTCCAAGTGAGGTGCTTATTTCATTTTATGTTTTTGGGGGTAAACTTTAATTCCATCTTATGATTTGGACTAATAAAAAATGCAGCACCTCAGATTTTGTACATCTACAGAACTAACAAAGTAATGATAGCCTATTCTTGGACAGAAATGTTAACATATGGATTCTTATAGCATGATAGAGAGCAGGCGCGGCTCCCAAAAGCCATGTTTTTTTAGCAAACTCCCAAAGCCATGTTTTTTTAGCAAACTCCCAAAGCCATGTTGTTGCAGTTTTTAATTCAGATCTTGGAACAGCAAGGTCACTGTACACAATTGTCTTTAATTTGTAGATCAATTGGAAAAAAAAACTAAACTTACATCTCCTGCTAAGACTGATATGGTGTTGTTTCCCAGTTTATAGGTCTTGGTCAGTTTTTGCATGTTTTGTTGATTGTTTTATTCTTCGACATGCTTACTATGTTCAGTGGTTTCATACTTCCTCTAAGATTGCAAAGGAGCGACCACATGCAGAATATAGATATAGCTCTCAAGGTATTTTCTCTTTGTTAAGTACTACAAATTATTTTGTGTGATAAAGTAACCATTTTGAAAATAAGATGTGCAGACTTTGTAATAAAAGGTAACTATGAACCTTGCGTCATACTATTGTCAGTGCAAGCAGTGGGTTGTAGTTTATCTAGAACAGTGAAGTGTTTCCTTAACAAAAACTTGTGTCATCTGCCCAGCTGTTGTGGCACACTGCACAGCCCGTGGCGCTACTCATCATCGTTTAATTAGGGAACTAACGATTCATGCGTGTTGCTACTTGCTACCCACAAGATATATCTACTTTTGAAAAATGTGATATCGCAGTCTTGTAATCTAGCATCTTCCTTTGGACCTGCATGATGTAGTAGTACCCTTTATTCTCTTATCTCGAAATATATTCAACCATTTATTCACAAGAGGTTTTTCAACTTTGTTTCTTTTTTGTACATGTTTATTTCCTTTATATAATGATTCAAGGTTTTCAACATTGTTTAGTTGCATGACATCTGTACATCAGGCTTGAGATCAAAACTAAGCTGAGTTTGTCTGTCCAATTCGCGTCTTGGTTACCATTCGACTTGAAATGTTGTTGAATTCAAATATATTTTAGATTTTAGATTTCCCGAAATGCCTGAACATAAGTTAAACCTACATATTTCATGCCTATATATGTATGTGCACAGAAATTACTATCATTCTAACGAAAAATTAGACGGGCGCAGCAATGCGCGCCATCAATGATCTAGTCTCAAATATGATATGACCGCATTCCACTACATCCCTTATGTATATCATTTGCTACTTGCTTGGAATCAGTGGCAACCGCCATGTCGTGGGGAAGGAGATCTTCGGTCAAGGATAGGACTTCCCTGCATGCAATGGCCTCAAGAGTTGCAACATCTTGTACAGCGTGGATCCCCAGTGCCGATGAACCCATATAATTTCCAGATGAGTCCCTCCATACAGCATCTGTAGGCCCCTCATACCTTATCTTGCAAGACCTGTGTCAATATGGATTTTTGCAAAACCTAGTGGTGGAGCGACCATGCGAGCATGCTCACCTCTTCGGCCAGGAGCAGGCACATGAGCATCAATGGATTTCTTGGGTATTTCTCATAGTTCATATATGAAGTTTTAAATGAATATTTCATTGCTAGAGGACTTTGAAACACCCCTTCATGTATTGTTTTCCATCTCGCCCGCCATGTAGCTAATAGGGTCACTTCAAGCCTTACAAAAGCTTCATGAGACATTGACTCCATCATCGTGAACATCCATGGTTTCGCACTCGGTTCGATGGTTGAGATCATATGTTCTCCGCTAGTTCATCGTCGTCCAATGCCCATATGAACATGGCATTGAGCACTCTATTAATGAGTGTCTCCAAGAATCGTCCATTCCACATAGTCCACAAGCGCTCGTCATGGATATATTCATGTGACACTGGACCTCGTTCGTGGGCAGAGAATGCTTGGCCAGTCGCCATAAAAACTGCCCGAGACTTGTATTTTCCACAATAATTTCCGTGATGATTCATCCTGCCATAAGTTAGATGATTCTGCATTCTCATCTATCCAAGCTTCTATCCGAAATTTGGTTGCTACCATCATTTTATATGCTGATCGGACTAAGAATATACTGTTTTAAAAAAAAATCCATGCCCAGCAGCCATGAATATTTCTTGTGCACAATTGTATTCCCGTGATCACTAAAATGTCAAGCGGGATGAACACCTCCTAGACCCTCTCCCTGATCCATGTCGCAGATGTGAGATCAATCAATTCCGAAACCAATTGAGGTGGGTTTGCAGCTGTACATCTGCATGGTCTCATTATTTCCGGCCTTGGTAATCAATTTTGGTTCCATTTTTCAGTTGTCTCACCATTGCCAACCCGCCTAATCAAGCCTTGTTTCAGGACATCTCTTCCTTCCAGTATAGGTCTCCAGATCTGAGATGGGTGGCTCCCCGTTGTAGCTTGCAGTATAGTTGAAGAAGGAAAATAAACAACTTTCAAAATTCTAGCTCTCAAGGTTTCAGGATTCTGCAAAAGTTGCCATGCCTGCCTAGCTAGCAATGGGAGATTAAAGAACTCAAAATCCTTGATAACTAGACCACCCATTCCTTTCACGTGTGTCATCACCTCCCATGAGACTCAACTAGGCTTTCTCCATTCATCTTTGCTACCCCACCAAAACTTCCTAAAAAGCATGTTGAGACGTTCACAGAGACCATATGGTAGTTTAAAGCATGACATAGAATAAATTGGTACAACATGTGTCATCGCTTTGACCAAAACTTCCTTTGCCGCCGTAGACATTATTTTTTCAATCCATCCCTGGACTTTAATCTGTAAACAATCCATGAGGTATTTAAAAGCACCATTCTTTGAGAATCCCACTTGAGACGGCATGCCAAGATATTTTGCATTCAAAGTTTCATTTGGCACATGAAGAATACCTTTAATTTCCCAACGAATATCTTCTGAAGTCAAGTGCACCTCTCTCGCCCCATTACCGTTAGCCTTGAAAAATAGCAGGATGCCATCTGTAAACATAAGATGACTAACATGCGGTACCTGAGGCGCCACCTGCAAACCACACAAATTTGATGACTATTCTCTTGATTTTAAAAGGCACGAAAGGCCCTCCGCTGTTAACAAGAAAAGCTATGGGGAGACTGAGCCCCCTGTCTAATTCCTGTAGATCGCTTAAAATCCTTTTTTTGTCCCTGGCGATGGTGAGCTTGTTCCTATGTAGAAGAATCTTTGCACCCGATCGCGATTTCAATCTTGGTTTTGGGATCCTTAATTTATGTAGAAGTCAGGGACCGGTTTGTAGTTTCTTTTTAGTTATATGTCTTGTTGCAATGTGCTCTGTACCTAAACTGTTTAGTTAGTGCAGCTTTGGGGTCCTTTTGGGCCTCTCTTCCAAAAAAAGATTGCTTTTTGGACAATTGGCAAAGTTTTAGGGTTTTAGCCCTGCAGGAAAAAATGAGGGTGGAATAAATCCTCATTTCAAATTAATAAAATGTAATATGAAGCTCATAAATGTAGTACAAAGGTTGAACACTTCTTTTTAGAGCACTCTCTAAAGAATATGTAGTGCATGAGACGAATAGTGATTTTGTCATAGTGCGGTTTTGTCCCTCTAGCCTTCATATCGACGGTTGTTATAATGGACGGAACCATATGGCAACTCTGCTAGAGTTTTTGCTAGCGCCGGCACTAGTCATCATATTACCAAAGCTCGGCACAACAGAAGGGACACATGCACACGCTTTTTAGATTGGACTTCTTATAGTAGCACAAGCACGCTAGTTCCCGGTTGATCGTCGGGGCGACGCGCGGACATAGAGCGGGCCGTCCATTTTGAGGGTGAGCATCGGGCGGTACCCCACCGTCGAGTCGCGCTCCCACATCTCAAACCTGAAGAGGTAGAGAAGCATAGCCGCGAATATCTTCATCTGCCTGTAGGCAAACTCCTTTCCCAAGCAGATCCGAGGCCCCACCTGTTAGGTTCAACAAGAGGATAAACATACACACACGTCACATGAATGTGGATATACTCCTACTCCCTCCGTTCCTAAATAGATGACCCAACTTTGTACTAACTTTAGTACTTAGGTGTGATGATTTAGATATGTGTTTCACTCACTCACCTGGAAAGCCGTGAATTTGTAGGGGCTCTCCGGGACGAACACACCATCGTCATCGAGCCACCTCTCCGGCCTGAACTCGTCGGCGTCGTCGCCCCACAGGAACTTCATACGGCCCATTGCGTAGGGGTGGTAGTTCACCATGTCCCCTCTCCTCACGGCGTGCCCGTCCGGCAACGTGTCATCCGAGAAGCAGCACTTGACGTCCTGCGATGCAACAACCCATAATCTCCTTTGCGTACTGTACGGTGCGCAAAATGGCAACGCAAATGCTCCATGCGGATGAGGTCGGTCAACTCACGCTGGGCACCGCCGGGTACAGCCGGAGGGTCTCCGTGAGCGCGGCGTGGAGGTAGTGCATGCTGCCGATGGCGTCTTCGGTTAGGCACGCCGTGAACTCTTGCACGCCGCCCACGTCCTGGTGGTCGCCGGTGGTGGCCTCCCGCACCTCCTGCCCGATCTTGTCCTGGATGCGCTGGTCTTTGCAGAGCACGTAGAGGAACCACGACAGCGTCCCCGCCATGGTGTCGCGGCCGGCGATCACGAAGTTGAGGATGATGTCCCGCAGGTACTTGTTGTCGAAGCAGCCGGGATCTTTCTCCCTCTCCAGCAGGAACCTCGACAGTATGTCCCCTTTCTTGGCCTGCCAAAATCAAGAAATGTCACGATCAAGAAATGCCGGCAAAATCAAGAAAGCTTACGTACGAATTCCTGTTGATTTCTGCCCATCTGATCGATCTTCTTGTCAATGACGGTGTACACGAAGTGATTGATGGTGCGCACCGACCGCTTCATGGCCGCCTCCGACGAGACGCCGAGGAGCCTCTTGGCCTTCCACAGCGGGTCCAAAAAGCGGTACAGCGACTGCTCGCTGGCTTCGTCGAACGCCCTGGCGAACGCCGCGCCCTCCTGGTTGGACCCGGACAGCGAGCCTAGGTTGACCCCGAACCCAATGGTGAAAGTCGAGTCCAGCGTCGACCGCATGAACAGGTTCTCCATGTCCACCTTCTTCCCGGCAGCCGCGGCGGCGGCCACGATGCCAGCGAGCTCGGCACCCATGTCGCGGAACACGCCGCTGCTGTATTCGCGGAGCGCCCGGGTGGTGAACTCGAAGCTGGCGACCTTCCGCTGGTGGCGCCACTTGGCCCCGTCGACGTTGAAGATCCCGTCGCCGAGGAGGTCCTCCAGCGCGTCATGGGTCATCGCCCCCTTGCCGTAGTTGGCAAAGTTGGTCCGGAGGATGTACTCGACGTTGGCCGGGTCGACGGTGAAGACCCAGTTGCAGTTCAGGGTGAGCATGCGGAAGGTGCCATACCTGCGGGAGAGCTCCGTCATGTAGTCCGGCAGGCGGCCCCAGTTAAGCAGCTGCTGGAGCATGGCGCCGGCCACGGGTTGGTAGCTCCGGCGCCTCTTGCCGAGCAGGGCTAGGCGCGCTAGGTACAGGGCTAGGAGGAGCACCGACGACAGCGCGGCCAGCAGCAGCGGTAAAAATTTCAGTGATAATATACAATCCCTAAAAATATCAGTGAGGTACCATGACTAATCTAGATTGCTGTGGGAGGAACAAACCAAAATGATTCACATTGTAACCATTTTCGATTTGAGCAACAGGAAAACTTGGGAATTCAAATATAATACTCTCAGGCAACAAATCATTAAACTTGAAAACAGTGCCTCACCTACCAAATGGCAATAGCCTAAAGCTTCGAATCCAGCAAAATCAGCCAACCCAGAAGAACCGAGCTCAAATCCGTCAAGATAGGTATTAATTTCATTGTGCTCCTTGTGGATTTCATCATTAGTGCATACATTTTCCTGCTTTACATCAACCAACTTATTTGGAGGAGCAGCCTGGGGAAAATATCATACGGAAACCAATATTCGATGAAAACAGGTGAAATCCACATGAAAACGATGTTTTAAAGTTTTGAAAAAATCTCAAAAAGAATCTAGAATGTTAAGAGAATGATGTTCTACTGCCATTCAAAATTTAAGGTTCAAACACATTACGGGATGTGAGCTACGAAAAAGACAAAATCAGCATTGAATAGCGTCAATAGTAACGTCAGTATTCATTGCTGAATTTGTCTTTTTCATTGCTCGCATCATGTAATATGTTTTTACTTCAAATCTCACATTACAATAGAACATCATCCTCTTAACATCCCACATTTTTTTTCAGAATTTTTTGATTCAAATGTGGTTTCACGAAGTTTTCTCTGAATGTTGGTTTCCGTACAATATTCTCCTGAGCAACCTGTTCGTGAGTACAAAGAACAGTATCAGTAAAATAATAATCTAAAATTAGATGAAGAATTGGGGGAAGAGGAAAGGTATAAAGGAGGCAGGGCTGGAGAACGGGGAGACAAATTAGCGACGACCTAACCCATGGCTGCTAGAGAGGTTTCCTTGGAAGTGGGAGGAGTGGAGAACGAGCGGCGGCACGGTGGAGATTATATGGATGCGCGGGGATTAAAGGAAGAGCATGAATCAGCATTGGTAACCGACCTGCAATTATCGACAGCCTGCGAGTGGCGTGCATCGATTGCCATTGATGTGCTCCGAGTTACTTCCTCAATCAATCCTTGACGAGTGCAGTCCAACCGGCAGGCGGCGGTTGGTCGCCCCTACCCCTCCATGTGCCATCGCTAGCGAGGCGACCCGACCGGCCGAATCCAAAGTGCGGTGGCCATGCGAGTCAATCCCACTCTAGGGAGGTGTGGCACAGGTGCCTCGACAACCTCAATCTTCAGGTTATGCGACCCACACCGCACGACAAGTTCCTAGAATGGTGGCTCTTAGCTTAGGAAAGATTCCCACGCCGAGTGAAGAGAGGTTTTGACACTTTCATCATCGCGGTAGCTTGGTCGCTATGGAAACAAAGAAATGCGAGGGTCTTCGGGAGCATCAATTCATGTCGACGGCTCAGTTGCATGATCACATCTCACGAAAAAGGGTTTCCCCCGCTTTAGATTATAAAGCAACCAACCGATCGATACAACGAGATTACTGGGGCCGCAACACAAACAAGCCCAAAAGAGAAGAAAGAAAAAGAAAGAGAAACAAATGCCGACAATGGCAGGTCGACGAAACAAAGATGACCAGTGACCGCTGCACCCACCGGAGAAGTACCACCGCGCTTCTAGCACTCCGAGGCGTCGCGTACCGGGCAGCACCTTCAGGAAGGAATGCGACGACGACGCCGCTGCTGCTCGGACAAGTCAAAGGGTTTCCCCCGGTACGTAGAGGGCAGTGGGGAAGGGGCAGATCCGACGCCCTTCAGGAAGGTCCGGCGGCGCCCACAGGCGTCACCGCGTCGGTGATGGACGAGCCACCAGGGATTTCTCCCGACCCAAACAACCACCACCACCCCGGACGATCGGAAGTGCTCCACAAAAACTGCCGCCCACCTACATGTGCCACCACAGTCACTAAATCATCATTGCCGTCTCGCTGAGCCACCGACACGAGACCTGGAGGAGGGACGAGGAGCCAACGGGCTCGGGGGCATCCGCAACTCAGCCGATGGGAGGGGACTACCACCACCGCCAACGCGGAGCCGACCGGACGTGACAACAGGAGCTTACCAGGCCCGCACAGGCCCGGCCGGACCCCAAAGGATCCGGACAATCACTGCCGCTACGCTGCAGCACATCGGCTGACGAAGCCGCCACCACCCGCATCCCTCGACGCCGTGCCACCACCACCAGGGAGCCACGCCGCCGCACGCCGGAACGCCGGCCTGCCCCAACCCAGCTAGAGTCCAAAAGAGCCCAGATCTGGGCGGAGCGGAGGCCGGCGGCTAGCCGCACCACCGCGCGCCCCGCGGCCAATGGCCGCGCCGCTGTATCAGGGTCGCCCGCGCCCCGCGGACCCCGCCGCCAGGACGCACCATCGCCAGCCGAAGAACACCGCCGCCAGCCACCATCGCCCGAGCAGAGGAGGCCGCGCGCGGGGACAAGCAGGCCCGCCGCCGCAGGCACCACGCGGGCAAGGCCCGGCGGCGCGCGCTGGCGGCGACGGGAGGAGGGCGGAGCTTGGGGGCGCGCTGGAGGGGAGCGGCGTCGGGGCCCCCGGTCGCCTTGCCCGAGGAGGCGACGCGGGGGGTACGGGGAAGGGAGGAGGTGGAGGGAGGAGCAGGGGAGCGGGAGAGGCGAGCGGCGACGGCGGCCTCCGGCCGCGACGACAGCTCCGTGCGGGGGAGCCGTCGGCGGCGGCGCGGAAACCCTAGGCAGAAGGGGAGCGAGGGAGTGGGGGACGGGCTTTCTGGTGTGTCTGGTACAAATTTTTAACCACCATGTTCGCATGATCACATCTTAGACGAACTAAAGGAACGGAAGGAGGCAGGCCTTGGAGTAGGTGTTATTGAGCAGTTTGTAAGAGAGTAGACGCTTTGTATCTGTAGGTGTTGTGTGAACTGCGTCTATCTATGTTCACATAGTTTGAATCGCGTTACATTGCTTTTTGCCTTCTATAAAAATACGGTACGCTTTTGGCGTACTCTTGAAAATAAATGGAGTCCAGCGTCGACCGCATGAACAGACCCTCCATGTCCACCCTCTCCCCGGCGACGGCGGCGGCGGCCAATATGCCCGCGAGCTCGGCAGCCACGTCGCGGAACACGCCGCTGCTGTACTCCCGGAGCGCCCGGGTTGTGAACTCGAAGCTGGCCTCCTTCCGCTGGTGCCGCCACTTGGCGCCGTCGACGTTGAAAATCCCGTCGCCGAGGAGGTCCTCCAACGCGTCATGGGTCATGGTCCCCTTGCCGTAGTTGGCGAAGTTGGTCCGGAGGATGTACTCGACGTTGGCCGGGTCGACGGTGTAGACGTAGTTGCAGGTCGGGGTGAGCATCCGGAAGGTGCGGTGCCCGCGGGAGAGCTCCGTCATGTACTCCGGCAGGCGGACCAGGTTGAGCAGCTGGTGGAGCATGGTGCCGGCCACAGGTGGGTATTTCGGGAGTCTCTTGCCGAGCAGGGCGAGGCGCGCCGGGTGAAGGGCTAGGATCAGGAGCAGCGACGACAGAGCGAGCAGCAGCGGTGAATCCATGGCCGTGAAACGGCGCTGTGTTTCCGCCGTGCGTGCGTGCGTGTGTTCGCGTCGGAGACCTGGAGTGCGCCGTGTGTGGGTGGGTCGATAAGACTCGGATGTGAACGTGTGATTGCGGTGCGGTGTGTCCGTTTTCTCGTTTTCAGCACACCACTTGCTTTGCCGTGCTGTATGAGTTAACTACTAGAATGACGCCAACCAATGAGCATCAAAAAAAAGTTTGAGACGAAACAACAACAGAAAACCTCTGAAAAAAATTTCCAAAAAATTACTGTTTGTGGATTGTAACCCTACATCAAGACCAGATAGTTGATGTGGAAAACAAAACCCCACAGGCTAAATCTCATTTTCTTTAGGGCTACAAGCCAAATCTAATACTCACCATGGCTTGAAAGCGTTTCTAGAAACGAAAATGCCTGATTTTTCAGTTTGTATTTTCAAACTCTAGCCATTGGTCTTTATATCTCTAGAACTTGAGTTGGGGCCAGTTCTTTTGGCGGTTTAAAAAAAGCCATCTCCTCCCAACTTTTTCAATAAGCTGTCACTCTCATTTATTGAGACTTTTGAACTAGTTATGGAATAATTAATTTAGAAGTCTTGTCAAATTTAGAAAGCGGCTTATTTTTTAAACTGGGGAGAGACAATTTATTTTTTAAGCCCTTAGTGTAGTCAAGAGGATTGTGTGCGCTAAATATAGTAGGGGTATTCTCATCAAGGTGACAAACTCGTCAGAGTCCAAGAGCCCCCCTTTGGAGCCGGAGTCATCGCCGCTAGTGGATGCGTCGGCGTGGGAGTAAGAGGCCGGAGGAGGTAGCAGCAGCACCGTCCGAATGGCGTGCGGCGCAGCAGCGATCCCCTTGGATAGTCGATTGAACCACTCGACGCCATGGCATAGGAGGCATGGCCGGCGAGCGAGGGTGGGGACTAGATATGGAGGATAGGAAAGTGAGCGAGGAGGTGAATGCGGCAGAGACGTTGGTGACAATATTCCAACATGAAAAAAAAAACAGATTTGCTATTTCACATCTAGATATGAAATAGTTATCTCACATCTAAGCCTAGAGCCATTGGATGTCTTCTGTTTTTAAGATTCGTGCTACTTTGCTAGCTTAAATACGTCTCGCTCTGGCGCTGCGTTGTGTTTCGGTTGCCTCACAGGCTGCATGTGTATTTTTACCTGGTGGGCTGCGTTGCGTTGCTTTAGTACTGCTGAACCTTGTGCTTTGTTTGTGTTTTTCAGATTTTCGTTTGGCCATATTTGTCCCTGTTGTGGGCTTCCGTTTTTTTTTTGTATTTTTTTACTGACTCCAGTTTTGTGTGCTTAGAGAGGATCGGACTAACAGAAAATGTATGCATTTGGGTGTGACAAAGTGAATAGTACATTTTTTATCCATGTTTTTTTGTTGCTCGGGAAATGTTTGTGTTGATTTTTTATCCATTTTCTATTTTTTTCTTTTCTTTATTTGTACTAATATAACTTTGAATAAAAACCATAATTTTTGTCTCATAAATGTAAACAAAGAGCGGGCATTTTGCGTTGTTTTCACTCGAAGGGTGCGGGGTAGAAATGTACGAGTCGAGTTGTATTATTTTCGTATTTCCTTTTCAATTTTAGTTTTTACGTTGTATTTATTTGCTTTAAATTTACGAACTTTTAAAATTCAATTGTTTTAAATTCATGATTTCTATAAAAAATATTTTTATTTTTATTTTGAATTTTCTCCTTTTCTCCTTTTGTTATTTTGTTTTCTATTTATGTTCTCCTTCCTTATTTATTTGTTTTAAATTCATGAATTATTTTAAATAGATTTAGCAATATCTACTCTAATTTCCTCACCATTGGACATGTTCGCCTAGAATGTTGTGCAAATCTTGATCGTGTGTTGTTTTGTCGAGTGTCCTATACTCCCGTGTCTCTCGACATACGTTCGGAGTCCACATGGCGGCCCGTTCGTT